TGTTCCCTTCTGAGATACTCCCATGCTCCAAAAAAGTGTTTGCTCTAGTTGCATATTGCGTCCAATTCAGACACAATAAAAGCAGGTGCCTTGCCTGTACAAACAACTCCTTTGGATCTTTCTGTGAATAATTGGTTCAAATGGAAGTATTCATGATGGGCTCAAAGATCAGCCTTTCAGAACAATAAACAGGAAAGCAAAGCTACTGTAAATATGAAGCAACTAAGTAAGTGGGGAGAGATACCTGAAGAGGTCTATCTTAAAATAGGAAGGTTGCATATCAAACAATAAACTTCAGATGAGAACACTCTGGTAAATAAATGCCTTTTGCTACAGCACAAGAATTTGTGGGGGTAGCTTGGCCCAGACCCACAAAAGTATTTAGGCTCCAAACTTCTTTTTGGGTCCTTATGACTAGAAAAATCATGGTTCCATATAGTATGTCCTTATATACAAGCACAGGAAAGGGACATATTTTTCTGATGCTGAAATGTAAAAAAAACACCCCCCCAAACTTCCCTGTTGGCAGGAATATAGTTGAACACTGAATTTATATTCATTATCAGTCTGACATTTTCACTTCAGTGAAGTGACATATGGGGACAGTAGTCGGTACACCATTCTATACCACCAGGTGGGAGGAAAGCCCAGTGTGTGATAAATAACATCAAAAAGAAGAAGTAGCTTGCATATCAGTGAACAATAGGAATACAAAATTGCAATACTGGCTCAGACTAATTGTCCATCTCATTGGCCAGAGGAAAGTGGAAGGAACATGATAATAGAGTAACCAGGTCATGGGTAAATTTCTTCCAAACGTCCATCATTAGAGATTGGTTCATGCGCTGAAACATGGGGTATTAGTATTTGGAATCGAGACCTGACCAGAGTCATTCTATGGAATTCTGTTTTAAATAGGATGAACCCTCTTTTGAAAATGTAACCTATGCTAAAATTGTTTGGCTCTTTGTCCCAATTTAGTGGCTCAAGGGCTTATTTATTCTGAGTACCAACACAAACTGGAGTCCTGTCAGTGCATCTAGGTAGCTTAATCAAACCAATCAAAATCAGATAGATGAAATAACAATGTGTGTGGATTTGGCACATTAGCTTAGCCCACTCCCAGGAACTGAAGAACTCTCTCACTCTAGAAGCAGCCTTTTGCCAGGGGACTTACATATTTTCCTTAACTGATGATCAGTGATAGCTGTCACCCTTCCCTCCAGGCATCTAACACAGTAATATATTTTAAGGAGACTATTTTTTTTCTTTTGTCAGCAGTTTCATCACTTCATTCTTAAGTTCCTTCCAAATTGCTGAATTTAGACCATCTTGTTCCTAGCAGAATTCTCCAGTCCCCACTTGGTCTGCCTGATTTTTATTCTGAATAAGCGAAAATCACTCCACTTTGAGATGCATGTGCGGACCCTGAGCATGCTCAGTTGAAAACCCAGAATTTCTAAAATGGTGCCCTGGCAAAGAGCCATGTGTGGGTGGGTGGATTGGCAGAATCACAGCTCTGAGATAAATGACAACAGAAAGCATGTGCAAGATTGTTGGCTATTGAGCATGTGTAGTAAGGGGTGACAGAGAGGTCAGTTAGCTGAGCAGCTAGCCAGTTTTAGCCCACTCATACCAGTCACAATTTATTTTAAAGATTAGACCTGTCAATCATAATTCTGAGATAATGGTTGGTACTGAGCATGTGCAAGTGGGGTAATTGCTTAAAGGTATATAAGAAAGGCACAATAGGCCAGTATAAAAGGCCAGAAGCCAGTTTCTTAGTCTGAGGCGGCGAGAGAGAGAGACACGATCAGGAGAAGACTAAAGCCAGCAAGGGGAGCCAAAGAAAAGCTGCAGAAAAAAAGGCAGAAAAGCTGCAGCAGAGAAAGAGAGAGGAGAAAACTGAGGCAGAACTAAACTGAATGACTAGGAGCTGAGCAGCAATGGTGATTAAAAGAAAAGTGCCAAAGAATGTATAAAGCAGCAGCAGTGATTTTAAAGAGATACCAATTGTCAAGGTTCCTTCCCCACTCTGAACTCTAGGGTACAGATGTGGGGACCTGCATGAAAACCTCCTAAGCTTACTTTTACCAGCTTAGGTTAAAACTTCCCCAAGGTACAAACTATTTTACCCTTTGCCCCTGGACTTCCACTGCCACAACCAAACTTTATCTGGGTTCCTGAAAAAATGTAGTTTTGAAACATCTTTCCCCCAAAAATCTTCCCAACCCTTGCACCCCACTTCCTGGGGAAGGTTTGGTAAAAATCCTCACCAATTTGCATAGGTGACCACAGACCCAAACCCTTGGATCTTAGAACAATGAAAAAACATTCAGTTTCCTTACAAGAAGACTTTTAATAGAAGTAAAAAAGAATCACCTCTGTAAAATCAGGATGGTGAATACCTTACAGGGTAATTAGATTCAAAACATAGAGAATCCCTCTAGGCAAAACCTTAAGTTACAAAAAAAACACACAAAGAAATATTCATTCTATTCAGCACAGCTATTTTCTCAGCCATTTAAAGAAATCATAATCTAACACATCTCTACCTAGATTACTTACTAAATTCTCAGACTCCATTCCTGGTCTATCCCCGGCAAAGACAGAATATAGACAGACACACAGACCCTTTGTTTTTCACCCTCCTCCCAGGGTTTCAAAGTATCTTGTCTCCTCATTGGTCATTTTGGTCAGGTGCCAGTGAGGTTACCTTTAGCTTCTTAACCCTTTACAGGTGAGAGGATTTTTCCTCTGGCCAGGAGGGATTTTAAAGGGGTTTATCCTTCCCTTTATATTTATGACACCAATGAATTTATAAAGTAAGCTTGCCATATTTTAATTTTTAGAGTAGTATAGTTTAGCATAGTATTTAACGTGTATGCTTGAAGTGTCTGTGTGTTTTAATTGCAACATACCTGTGTAAACTTTAAAGCAATTTAAGATCTGCTGTCAGTCATTTGTTACAAACTGGCCACTTGTAACAAATAGCTTTGTTTAGAATCATTTGAACTATGTACTATTGTAGTTTGAATGTTCTTTAACTTGCAATAAGGGATTTATTTCTCAGGGATTTAGTTTTTTGGTTAGGATTTTTAGGATCCACTGTATTAGCGATTATTACTTACATTAATAGAATATATTTTGGTTTTGGAAGGAATACTGCCTATGTCAATTACTTTATCGCAGGGGTCTCAAACTCAATTTACCTTAGGGCCAGTGCCAGTCCTCAAATCCTCCCGGTGGACCAATAATGTCACTGAAGATGGTGTTCAGAAAAGAAAACATTTATACAGTATTTTTTTATTTTGAATTTCTTAGAAATAATAAAACTGTCATACAACTTTATACAATTATTCACCTGCCAGAGAGTTTAATGTTTGCCAGACACCTGGTAACACTTCAGTTCTGTCAGTTTGCAGTGACGAGCAGTTGAAACCTTCAGGATTGCAGCCAGGTGTGCATCACATAGTTGTGTTCAGTATTTTGACTTGATTATATTCATTGTGGGGAAAAAGACACTGCCTGCATGGCTGACTCTGCCTGGCAACTAGTGATGGTTTCTCTGTCCCTCTCCCCCAGCCAATCAGAGCTGTGGGGGCAGCGCCTGCAGCAGACAGAGCTGGAAGTGTGGCTGCATGCATCTCTCTTCCATGGGCCACAGTGGGGAGTGCTTTATCGGAAGGTTATAGCTGTGTCATTTAGTGTTTTCCTTAAAGACTCCAAACTTTTACCTGGGAAGAACAGATTAAGGGGGCAATAGGAAGGTTATTATAGCAGCATCCCGAAATTCATTTGCGGGGGGGGGTAACAATCTGGGCTTGGTGATTTGCTGCTCTTTAACTTATCAGTTTGTTCCTGTGTACTCTTTTTTGATCTCTAAATAACTGACCATCTGATATTTATTACTCAAAGATGGTAGGTATGAGGTAAATCTTTTCCCTACATATGTGGTGAAAAAAGAGCTGTGTGAGTAACTGATTTTTTATTTCTTTGGGGGAGAGGGGGTTGAACAAAAAAAAAAAAATTGAGTCAGACAAAACATTTAGTTTGACCTGAAAGGAAACATTTTATTTTGTTTTTGAGATTTTTACATTTCTACAAAAAATGGAATTTAAATAAAATTCCAAACAAAAGTTTGTTTTGAATCAGTCAGAATGTTTCATTTTGAATATATCAAAAAAGACTTACTTTTTCTTTTTTTTCCCAAATGAAACAATTCCGCAATTTCAACATAAATTTGAGACATTTCTGTCTACCTGAAGAAAGTTTCATCTGTAAATTTTCACCCATCTTTAGTGAAGACTGATGCTTCTTCCTTCACTGCCCCATTTATGCTGTGATAATCCAGGCAACCCACTAATCCTCACTGAAGTAGGATTCTTATATTAGATCTCAAGAATTTTTGCTTTTATATTTAAGGCTATTTTCTCCCAATTCCATCTTAGCCATTCTAATTTTCATCATATATTTTCGGTCATAGTTTATGAGCTCTTTCTTTTGGCTTTATTTTGTCTGAATATTTTGTTAAAAAAGGATGTAAGTAAGGAGATAAAGGAAGAAAGAGGCACGCGTCAAGACCCTAATTGGGCCCTGGGTGATTGCTACTTCCCACCACCCAACACAGATGTCATGAGGTTGAGTAGTGCCCGTATAAGAAAAATTAAAACTACTAGTTATTCCTCAAAAAAGATTTTTAATGATTTTTTACTATAAAAACAACACAGACAAAATAAGAAGAAGTAAAGACCAGCATTGGATAAGAATTAATATAAATGGCAGATTATGCTGAAGACAAGCACAAGTACATGTAAAGTTACGAACCATTAAGGAGCTAATGAACAGCTGATCCTGGCACGTTACACTGAAAGCCCTGAAGACAAGCATATGTAAAGCTATCATCCACCAGTTATTTACCACTGGTTTTACACTATAGTATCGATACAACTGAGATCAATTTAGCTCGAGCAACCAAACTTCTTTACTCCAAATCTTACCCTGCATTCATCCGAAAAATATGTTACCCTTCAGTCGGCTTTTTCCACACTGGCCAGATACAGACAGTCGAGAAGTGCATGTCCCTTCGGTTCGGGGGTGTGGATCAGGTTTCCCTTATGACCAAACACACACACAGTCCCGTGCCTTCGTACTTTTTATCTGATCTGTTGGCCGTGTTTCAAAACAGACCAACCAATCAGGGTGGACCACATCGTTAATGTGGTCAGTGTGGTTGCCCCAATTGTATAATTGATGCATACTTATCTCCTTATAGCCAATTGTCAGCTAATTGTATAATTCAGGCCTATTTATCTCCTGTAGCCAATTCAGTTTTAAGTGTGGTTGATGTGGGTTTGCTTAGTTCATAGGAGTAAGCAAAAAGTTGCTTAGTTGCAGCGCATCCTGACCACAAGTCTTAACTTCCTGTTGCAAATCTTGCTTTTTTAGAGCTTCCGGAATTTGGCAATACTTTTGTTCAGTTTAAGCTTGACAGTACAGTTGTCCAAATTATTCACAGTAAGGTAGACTCAAATAATAACTTCTTGTACCTTGCCTTTTAATAATCATACTTCCCCCACAGGTGTTTTTTCATTCCATTTTATATACGGATATGATAAGCTATACATAGACTCCAACTGGAGTTTAATTATTTTAATTTTCTCACTTTTGGTTTTATTCTCTTTAACTGACATTATTATTATTTAATCACCCTTTTTAAAAGTTTGCTGTCTTAGTGCTAGTTTTTGATACTATCCATCCCCCAAGGCTTAACTAAATTTGTAATTACTACTAATGCATCCACTGCTGAATAGTTACTTCTTGGATCAGCTCCCCTGTTACACTTAAATATAAAACAAGGGTAGCTTCTCTCTTTGGATTAGGTAGTTGAGTGGACACAAAAAGCAATTATTGACCGTGCTCACAAAATGATTCTCTAAAATCAGTGGTTTTCAAACTGCGGGTCACGACCCAGTACTGGGTCATGGAATGTAAGGCACTGGGTTGTGGCGGCTCTGGTTGGCACTGCCGACTGAGCCTTTAAAAGTCCCAGCGGCGGTGCTGCCCGGCTAAGGCAGGCTAGTCCCTACCTATTCTGACACTGCGCTGTGCTGCACCCCGGAAGTGGCCAACAGTGGGTCTGGCTCCTGGGGGGGGGGGGGCGTGGGGCTCCATGTGCTGCCCCTGCCCCAAGCACTGGCTCCACACTCCCATTGGCCAGGAACCGGCCAGTGGGAGCTGGGGGTGGCGGTGTCTGCGGGTGAGAGCCGTATGGAGCTGCTTGTGAGCCTGCACCTAGGAGCCGGACATGCTGCTGGCCGCTTCTGGGGTGCAGCATGCTCTGCGGTGCCAGGACAGGCAGGAAGCCTGCCTTAGCCCCCCCTCTGCACTGCTGACTGGGAGCCACCTGAGGTAAGCCCATGCCCCAATCCCCTGCCCCAGCCCTGAGCCTTCCTCCAAACCCAGGGCCCCTTCCTGCACCCGAAACCGCTCATCCCCAGCCCCACCCCAGAGCCTGTACCCCAGCCCAGAGCCCTGACCCACCCCTGCACCCCAATCCCCTGTCGCAACCCTGCTCCCCCAACCCAGACCCCTCTCCTGCACCCTAAACCCCTCATCCCCAGCTCCATCCCGCAGCCCTCACCCCCACACCCCTCTGCCCTAGTCCTGAGCCCCTCCCACACCCCAAACTCCTCATCCCCAACCCTCTCCCCCACCTCTGTGACTCAGTCTGATCTTCCTGAATGTGATATACTTAAGTATTACAATATTCCACTGAATATTTCATTCCATCATGTTTCAGAAATGCTTATTATATCTAGGTTCTTTTCCATTGCAAGTCACTGAAATTAACCTGTATGTGTCCTTAAGATTCTTGCATTGGTATGTAAATGCTTGTAGCTGTTGTTTTTGACAATTTACCTATTTTTAACTCCTGTGATGTGACATTTTGGGGTTCACGAAGGCCAGTAAGGGGTTCAGTCAATATCTGCCTCGTAACCCTGGGTGTCTTGTGCCTGTGCAGCTTTGGTTCAGAACTCTGACCCCAACAGCCTGCCAGCAGACCGACCGCAAGCCTCACCCTGGCTTTGCCCAACTTGGATATTCCTTCCTGGCTCACCTTAGTACCTTTCCAGAATTGATTCCAAAAGCATTGTCCATCAGGGTCCAGTCCCTCTAACTGGACCCTCAGAAAAAGGATTAGGTTTGCTGTCTCTACAGAGACATTCCAACCTGTCAACTTTACTCAACTTACCCAGCACTGTTGATTTCTAATGAAAGCAAAACAATTTTATTAACAAAAGAGCATAAATTGATACCAAGTAAAAGATATTAAGGCAGAAAAATGGGTACAGTCAATTAAGTTGAAAACACATCTAAAAGTCTTAAACTTAATTTAGCAAGATACAGTCTTTGTTCAAGATGTTTTTTACTCTTACCCACAGTCTTCTTTCCAGCTTTTTCTGGCTGACCTGGCCAGGACCCATCACAGAGATCAAATCACTTGGTTTCTTTGTCTCTATGAGGTGAAGGATGACGTGGGAGTTTCCCCCACCCCGTATAATTCAGTGAATCTTTTAAATGTATTCTTCTGCAGGGTACTCCCCAAGATAACATTCATTAGTTCACACTGAGTAAAGGGGCCATGAGGTCTGGAAGATAGGACTCCATGCTGGTTCCTACTTCCTGCTCACCTCCCACACCCCCATTGCATTGCTACTATGCAAATCTCTTCCAGATGCAATCTCCAATACAAATGAATAACCCACTGAAATTGAGCCACACCTGGTTTGAGTTGTCAGCCTCATTCCTTTATCTGGAGAAAACCTGTTTATCAACTTCCCTTGATACACCTGGTTTAAACCTTTTAGTCACTGATTTTAAAGCATAATGCTAGTGAATATCCATAATTTCCCATAGAGCATGGTTACATATATTTTACAATGATGTTATTGACCAGTGTGTTGCAGACCAGCTTTCAAATGATACCTCATAAAGCATAATTTGTACACAAATAATTGCAATAGTGTGTAGGGTCTCAATATGGGAATGCCTCGGGTTGAAGGTAAGCATTATAGTAGATTTGTGGAGGCAGAGATTTGTGCAATGCTTGCCTTTACAGTACCTGAAGAGTAATACTGTGCTTACAAAATGAGTGTTAATCTCCTGGAAAGCTAAGTCATGGATTTTGTCTTCAAGTATAAACACTGATGGTAAGAATCACTTGTCAGGCTGTTGAAAATGTGAAGACACTATAGCAGAAATACTTTTTCTTTTGCAAGACTTTAACCCAGTTATGATCAGATGTGGTTAAGATGGCTGTCTCTTAACCTACATAAGGCTGAGGATGATAATCATTATTGTGTGGAAAGAACTTAAAAAAAAAAGAGTAGAGGTGATACCATATCCTTAGGAGTGTTTGTGCCCATCTTTGTAACCAGAGAGTGTTATTGACTCGTCAGTTACTTCTGGGGGCTTACATAGCATCACCCACCCGAAAAGCATTTTATCCTTGACGATTGGCTCAGGAGGCTTTTGACCTCTTTTGAATGTACACCTAACCACAGTGATCCACACTTCAGTCATCTCTGAACTGGGTTACTGCAGTGCATTCTAAAGTGGGCTTTATCTTAACACCAGCCAGTGCAAAATGTGGCTACTCGCACAGTTAATGGCACTTCTCACACCTTTCTCCATGTGCAAGTTCAATTGTTAGTTTTAACCTATAAAGCTCTAAATTGTTTAGGTCCTAAGTACCCTCAGAGACTGCATCTTTCCGAAGAGATAACCCAAAGGTATCAGCTAAACTGCTCAAATGAACAGTTCCAGGTATAATCAGGAGAGGGGTTCTCAATTTTCAAACCTTGTTTCCCTGTAGGTTGATTAGAACCACTTCTTGTAAGGTTTTCTTGTAAAGTGTGTCATGCTGTCTGGAATGGCTTATGACCTGAGAGTGCCAAGCTCAGAACAGACTGTCAAAAAGCAGGGCAGACACCCTAAACTGGTGGTATGTTCTGTAACTACATTTCACCAACCCAGTAACAAATGTGAACTCCCAAAGCACTATAATAGTCTTACCAGAGAGTTGCAGACAGTCCCCTTAGGCTCTCCAGTCTATCTTGCCATCCAGGTAAGCCAGACTTAGTGATAAACAGTCATTTACACACACACAAATTAAAAATATTCAGGTTGCTTCCTGGCCCAAGAGATCAGTCACTTACCCCAGATCAATTTGTATCTTAGATCTCACAACAAAGACAACACCTGTAGCCAATCTTGTAATTAGCTAAAGGTTTATGGACCAGAAAAAAGTAGTAAGAGAGTTATTTAGAGGAGGATCTTTGCCTTAGTTTAGTGTTTCTGGTCTTGTGAGAGTTCAAACAGTAAGTAGATGAAAAATTTTCTTGTGATCCTGTTTTCATTTAGCCTTCCAGTCCATGAGACAAGCTCCCTGGCAGGTAGCATTTCCAAGGTGTTCCAGGACCATTAACCCATCCATGATTTTTCCTTGATGGTCTGTTCAATCTTGATAGGTCTCCTGAATGGGCTGGGAGGATGATTGTTGTGCCTTGGTTCACAACTTCAGAGCAAACGTTTTCAAAGTTACAAAGCAAAACGTACATAATTCCTATAGCTTGGATATAGACAATGATTTACAAGCATTTCACACAATCTAAACACTAAAGACATTCTTATAAGATTGCTACCTATTCTGAACAAAACTAACATACAGGTGAGCTGGTTTGGTTTCCAATTATGAGTTTGTCATTACTCAGCTGATACCTACAGACTTGGTAAGAACTGGCACCTGGTTTCCCAGCATCACAAAGTGTAGTAAAGTATCACTATAATATCTGAACTGTTATCACTGCTCAGAGATGATATACTATGAGATGAATGCTACATTTTACTGTTGTGCATTGTGTAAAAGATTAAATCTGGTGTCTTTGGTAGCCAACAACCATTCTATTACAAATCATCTATAACCTTCCTCATCTGCCTTTCTTGTAGTTATTCTACCTTTTGGGGATCCTCTCTAGTGTATGTGAATCCAGTCAGGAACACTGAATGTACATACTTAATCTACTTGAAAGGCTAGATTTATTTAA